AACTTTTCAAATTCCATTTACCGTACCGCGCAATTCAAATTACCGTGCATGGCCTTCCAGTACCGAACACTTTTAATTTGTAAAAAAAAAACTATATTTTGTAAAAAAAAACTATATGTTGTAAATCTTTTGGTCGGGTTTCTAAAAAAAAAGAAGGTCCTCATCATATTATTTTAATCAACCTCTGGTTACCTAGCTTCTAAAAAAATGGCTAGCCAGGCCCTTCCTTCATTAAGTAATTTAATGGCATCGGTCCTTTCAAAGTCTTTGCTAATTCTGTTCAAAATACTGTACGTTTATCGTACTTTTTATGTAAATACCGTACTTTTATGTACGGCAATGACTTTGGACCGTATACCGTATACCGTATAATCAAAATTACCGTACAAGTATGGTAATTACCGTACGATTGGCAACCCTGTTATAATTGCCCTAGCCGCCAGCAAAGGTCATCCACGTTACGTTGGCAAATCGTTGGTCTGACGCCATTTTGGCAATAATTGTGCTTAAGTTGTGTTCGTTTTCCAATGGATTACACAGAGAAGCTGTCTAATCGGGGACAAATTTTAAGGGTAAGTACATAACGTATAATATAAAAGTATTTTATATTTACTAATTTATCGGTTTCAAATGTATTGACCCTTCACTTTAACGTTAATTATGGAAAAAACAGTAGATAAAGCGAAAAATCTTGCAAAGTTTTTTCATTATGATATCAGAAATTCCTTTTTCTATTTTGATATAACTTGGCAAGGCTATTTTGAGTACTGAGGGTTAAATTTATTTGTGACATTAACAGATATTTCTAACAAAACACATGTATGGCAGTGTTTTTTGATATTTTTATTAAATTAAGAAATAGAAAACAAAAATGTTTTGTAATTTTTTTTTTGTACCACTTTTTGGCAAATTAAACATGCACATCTGTATAGCGTTTAGGTATACATGAAATAACCAAGAATAAGAAATAAGAATTAGTAGAAAAGATGGCAAACTTTTATCTTTTTAGGTATACCTTATTTTATTTAATTTTGTTTGGAAATTGATAATGCGCATGCCCCAAATGTTTTTTGTTTTAAATGTTCCGGCTTAAGTTTTTTTTAATGAATTTTGACAGTTTTACAAAGAATTCGGAAGACTGAGTAATTTTTTGCAACAATTAAAACTGCCTGTTCAAGGTAACAAAATACTTTTTAACTGCAAAAAAAATACTGTTTAACCACTAAAAAACTACTTTTTAGTGAGTAAAATTTTACTCTCTAACCACTAAAATTAATAAAAACTAAAAAGTACGTGTTTAGAGACTAAAAAGTAAGTTTTTTTAATGAATTTTGACAGTTTTATAAAGGATTCGGGAGACTGATTCATTTTTTGTTGCATATAACCTTAGCTTTTACAGACCTTTAAAACCTAAATTTAAACATTTCTTAAAAATAACTGACATTAATTTTTATCTAAATTCTTAACTTAGTGAGCTAGGGGAGGGCGTTTCTAGGATCCACGACTGGTGCTCGAGTTTTTTAAAATTCGAAATTTGCGTTTCTGAGATAGTATTAATAAAATATATTTTTTTTTTCTAGATATTAAGGAAGGATCGTTTGGAATGGCCCACCTGGTAGATAGAAGAATGTTAAGTTTTTATGTTCCTACCTATTTTAGTTATTAATCCTAATGGCATGGATTTTCTTATTCTATTCTATATTATAATAAACATAAAACAATATATTAAGAATAAAATTTATTTTAGGATTTTTCACAAAGAATAAATACCGGATTAATTTAAAGCTACTAACTGCTCATTTGAAACTTCTTGATACATATGCCTAACGTTATTATACGTCTAAAGACAAATAAGTTTAAGTTATCAAATAACAATTTTATATAACATAACCTACTGAATTTTTAAAATTTAAATACATTTTTGAAATATTTAGCAATATAACTAATATATTTATTCCCTTCCTTTCCTATGCTGATCTGTATTTCCACCACGGGTGAAGTAAAAATTTATGTAAATTATATAGGTAGGTATATATTAGGTAAATTTTGCTTTAATAATTATATATAGTTTTTAATGCACGGCTAAAAAGTTAATTTTTCTATTTTTACAGAACTGGTTTCATTACGAACAAATATAAAGTTCAGTTATCCTCGGTAAATCTGGAAATTTGACATTAAATACATGCAAAACATTCTTGTATTTCGACTTTAACTGAACTTTATTTTTTTATAGAAAAAACGGCCTAAGAGCTAAAGAAACCAGCCCTAAATAGCAAAATTTACTTTTAACCATCAACAAATACAAATAAAAATTAACTGTATAATCATTAAAATCTACTTTTTAAAGGTAAAAGGTTACTTTTAAACCACTACACACTACTTTTTAACCACTAAAAACAATTTTTTAAATGTAAAAATTAATTTTTTATCAATTAGAACTACCTTTTAAAGGTAAAAAAAATATTTTTTTATTGCAAAAAAAGTAATTTCCTTATCAGTACCTAATTTTTAACCAGTAAAAACTACTTTTAATTAATAAAAACTATTTTTTAACCACTAAAAGCCTAATTTTTAACCAGTAAAATCTATTTTTAAGAGATAAAAATAATTCTTTAAGGTGATTACACCACCCCCTTATAATTTTCGGACAAGGATATCTCAAAAAGTAATTTTTTTAAAAAATTAAAATTTTTGCAAGATATATAAGGCAATAATATCTAAAATATGCATATATTTTAAAATTTTAATTCCTTCCAGTTTCCGAGAAAAAAATCAAAGGGCTTTAAATTTTGAAATATCATAATGAAAATAAATGCATTCCTCAACAGCACTATTCTTAATATAATCCCCAAATTTAAGCTCTTAATCTCTTGTTAATGATTTTTTAAAATTCGCCGAAATTAGTGGCTAAAACGCCTCTAACCACTAAAATTAATAAAAACTAAAAAGTAAGTTTTTAGGGACTAAAAAGTAATTCCAAAAAAGTGAATTTATTAACCGTAGCAAAGTACTTTGGCTGTCGCCTATTTTAATAGAGTTTTTTTTAAGGGTTAATACATTTTTGCTACCATAGTAAAAAAATTTCCTCCGTGTAGTTTATATCATTTCTATAAGAGCCCATTTCATGATGGTACTGTCATTGCTTAATTTTGTTGGTTTTCCTATAAAAAAGTAGCGATGACATTGCAGTTTTTTGTTTGGGAGTTGGGTATAAAACACATGACTATTTTGTAAATATATGCTTTTTGACTTTTAAATCCACAAAGTAGTGGTCAGCAATGTATTTAGCTTCAAGAACTTTTGAAAAGGACAAGTTTGAGACTGATGGTTTAAATTTTCTAATACTTTTACATACCTTTGAATAGTGTCTTCTTTTTGTGCATTCGTTACAAATCGAATCTTTGGCATGACAAAAGGTACGCAAGTGTCGCTTCGAGCTCACATAGAAATAACATTTATATGTTTCTGTTACAGCGGAGTAAACGTGTTCTACAATTTCTTCTTACATTTCTGATATCAATGGATTGGCTAAATGTTAACAATAGCAATTCGCTTCTAAATGCTTCTATGCAGTTTCAAGTGACTGTGCTTGATTAACGGCATCTTAAAGTGATTGATGGGGTATGCATAGTAGGTCTTTTAACTTTTTGGTAGCTTTCCAACGTCAATAATCGATATATTATGACAATGCCACTTGAAAACTTGTCGCTAATGAAATAACTTTGTGAGACAGAAATTCCTTTTTCTACCACCTTCCTACCTAATTCCTCATACTAACACTCCCCTTAAATTTATTATTATTTACTGTTTTAACTCTTTGATAATTTTTTTGTAAGAATATTGTAGAAAATAATTTTTAATGAATAAAATATTGTTTTCTTCTATTAGTAAAACAAATAAGCGTTTAAGAAACTACAATATAAGAGCAATATAAAATAAGTCCTATGAAATGAATATTATGAACATTTTTCCAAAAATTGAAATATTACAACAAAAGCCTAGTCCATAAATTGTGTGGAAACATTAGCAAAAGGTGCTAGGTTCGGCTAAATAAAATTTGATGCCCGTAGTTTGTGGTGACACTGTACTAACAAAGGACCCCGCAGGTTTCTTATGGAAATTGAGTTTCGGTGGATTTTTTTAAATTTTTGATATGATGTAGTCCATATCATTCTCAACAAATATTACCATTGCGCCAACCCCTATAAATGAACAATTTGTCTGCTTGGGGGCGTTAAAATCACCCATTTTTAAAAATAGACCATTTATTTTGAAAGCCTGGAAAAATATATTTGCAAGTTTTATTTTAGGTTATGCTATATAGTATTGTACTTTTTATTTTAAAAAAATCTAACCGCCCCCCACTACCCCCCAACCTCCCCCTACCCCAATTTTCAAAATATTATCTTGGGTACTTTTAAATGCATTGCCAAATGTTTTAATAAGTTTAAATTAAGGTAACCGAGCTTTTTAAAATTATCCCCCCAACTGGAGGGGGGAGGCTATAACAAAAAATATCGGTGGATTTGGCTGAATTTTTAGTATGATGTAGTCTATGTTGTTTTGAATAGAAATTAATTGGGTCACAAACTCCAAAAATGAACAGTTTTGCTGCTAGGAGGCTCTAAAATCACCGTTGCCTCAAAATAGACCACCTATTTTGAAAGCCTGGGAAAATGTATTTACATATTTTATTTTAGGTTATGCTATATAGTATTGTGCTTTTTATTTTAAAAATATCTAACCGCCCCGCACTACCCCCCGATCTCCCCCTACCCCAATTCTCAAAGGATCTTAGGTGCTTTTACAATCATAAGGAAAAAAAGAAAAGTGGATTGTTTTATCACAAAATGTATACAATTCCCTAAATTGTTCTTTTGTCACAGAAAAAGTTTTTTGGAACTCTTCATCACTGCAACAGCCTTCATTACTATACATGTTTTCAGAAAACGTGTTTACAGTTTTTCGCATTTGCTGTAAAAAAATTTGTATTTGAGTACCTTTAAGAACACAAGGTCTATTTACGTAACGCAAACCAGGAAGAAGAATCTTTAGGATACAGGATTTATCGTCCAAATGTGCCTGACATGATTTTACATCTTCAGAAATGTAAATATTAGTTCTAATAAATGCATCAATTCTACATTCAACAGAAAGTCTATGAATGTCATTTACTTCATCACAAACAAAGCAAGTAGAATTATTTGTTTGACTTAAAACGTTGAGTCTTAGACAGAACGGATTATTTTCTACGTCTATCAATTCTTGATTAATAGATCGACTGCAATTAATGCAAAGGCGTCTGTTATCCACATGAAGAGGAAGTTTGTTTTCAGCATTTCGCCGAATAACTGCTATTTCGCGTTTATTTACATTTTCTTCTCCATCCATACGTGAAAGTTGCGTTGGGCGAAAAAGTCTTTCGCATACGTAGCAAGCTTCTCGATTTTGGTAAGCCATTATAATAATATCAAAAACAATATACAAAAACACAATATATCGTACAACAACACAACACAAAAAAGGACAACAAAGCACAACAATTATTACTAATGTCAGAAAGCCGTATAAGTTTGACAATGTCAAAAATATTGTCCATATCCGCCTACTACAATGTTTACCAGAGAACCCCTAATTTTGGATCATTTTACCCTAAAAATACAATTGCAATTGAATGAGATATTTAAAAGAAAAGTGAGGCTGTTATGTTCTGTAGCAGAATATCTAATTATTTTTTGTTGTGTCCCTCCCTCAACGATTGGATGATAATTAAAATATAGATTTTTCTAATTAATAATAATAATAATAATAATAATACTCTCCCTAATTCACCCCCTTACGAGTGAATTTCAACCCCTGAAGTCGACTGAATGACTTGTGTAGGGGAAGGGACGGCTATTATTATTATTATTTGCCGTGGCGCTCCGGGGCGACTTAAGGATGATTGATGGTGACATTTGACTTACAGGTGAGGAAAACCCGGAAAACCTCACCCACCATCATCGAGACGATAATGTATGGCGATTCTATAATCTTCATGTCATATCAACAGAAATTGAATTTCCATTAATACGGCACACATCATGCTTATAAGCTTATACATCTTATATCCATTTTTTGCTTTTTTAAACAGGCGAAGGGGGGAATATGAGGAAGTATAGAATTAGTTTTATAAGAAATAAATAAACTGTTTATTTTTAGAGTTTGTCAACAAATTTATTTTTATTTAAAGGTACCCAAAAGAATATTTTGAAAATTGGGGCAGGGGAGGTCGGGGGGTAGTGGGGAGCAGTTAGATATTTTTAAAATAAAAAGCACAATACTATATAGCATAACCTAAAATAAAATATGTAAATACATTTTCCCAGGCTTTCAAAATAGGTGGTATATTTTGAGGCAACGGTGATTTTAGAGCCTCCTAGCAGCAAAACTGTTTATTTTTGGAGTTTGTGACTCAATTAATTTCTATTCAAAACAACATAGACTACATCATACTAAAAATTCAGCCAAATCCACCGATATTTTTTGTTATAGCCTTCCCCCCCCCCCCCCCCCCCAGTTGGGGGGATAATTTTAAAAAGCGCGGTTACCTTAATTTAAACTTATTAAAACATTTGGCAATGCATTTAAAAGTACCCAAGATAATATTTTGAAAACTGGGGTAGGGGGAGGTTGGGGGGTACTGGGGGGCGGTTAGATTTTTTTTAAATAAAAAGTACAATACTATATAGCATAACCTAAAATAAAACTTGCAAATATATTTTTCCAGGATTTCAAAATAAATGGTCTATTTTTAAAAATGGGTGATTTTAACGCCCTCAAGCAGACAAATTGTTCATTTTTAGGTATTGGCGCAATGATAACATTTGTTGAGAATGACATGGACTACATCATATTAAAAATTTAAAAAAATCCACCGAAACCCAATTTCCATAAGAAACCTGCAGGGTCCTTTGTTTATAAATAAATACGCTGTTGCTAGGTACACGCTTAAGTGTATGCAAATCAAAAAATTATATACACGCGAAACGTCATATTGCTGTGGTGGGAGGTGTTTGTGTGAATGCGTCTTGTTTGTTTTCATTTACGCCGTGATTAGCACAGTAGTATTTTATAAACCTTAGAAGCAAATTTCACATACATGAACAAATAATAATAATGCCGTGACAAAAGGAAAACGAAGCAACGAGTTCTCGTAAGGTGGCGGCTTCGCCGCCATAAAAAAATTTCAATCCATACCTAGCTACGACCGGCGTAGACACAAACGGCCTGCACACAGCTCACCTACTCTGTCAAGACGTTTCGCGTGTATATAAATTTTTGAATTGCGTACAAGTTAGCGTGTACCTAGACACTGTGAAATAAATATTATATGTGATACATCTTTAATGTATTATCATCTTATTTTACTGTATTAATTCAAGGATTGCGATTGTACTAGTAGTCTGTTATATCACATCATTAATGCCGAAAGCCCATTTGTAAAGCGATCTCTCAGCATTTTTGCTGTTTGCTTTGAAGAAAAGATCAATACGTAATATCCGACTTGCCATTTCATTATTTCCTATTAAAAACGGAAAATAAACAAAGTAAGAATACCCAAGAGAACGAAATCAAAGATGATTTCGGTTTTTCGAAGTAGAATTTGCTTTGAGTTCCTGATTGAGTAATATTCTCTCTTTTACTTACTCAGAGACCAAATATTAAGCAATTTAAATAGAGTATAGAATGCCATAATATGTAATAACAGGAATTCATTTTAATAATTATTGCAAGTAAAAAGCAATAATATAACAAAAATTGTATATTTTTTTAAATGATTGCTAAAAACAATTTTTAATCCTGATGTATTTTAAGCTACAAGGTTTTTTAAGGAATCGCTAAAATAAATATTACGTTTGTAATTATTTTTTTTGTGTTTAGGAATTTTAAAATTTTGAAGAACAACAGAGATCACTCTTACTAAATTTCTGAACTGTTTATGCACTAAAAGCTCGACTACAGATACGAAACTTTATGTAAAGCACGTAGTAAATTGTCGAACAATCGTTTTAAGAGTAGGTGCACTAATCCCAGAAGAAAAATATGGAAAAATCTTAGATTTAGACTAAGAAGTGTGTTTTTGTGCGAGACATACAGTTTAGGTAGGTATACTACTCATAAAAGTAAATAAAAGTAAAATATAAAGTGGTGTTGCTTGATATTCTATCCACGATATTATGGTGGTTGATTTGAGCGGAACTTCTCGTTGTTGGTAAGGCTCATGGCTACTTCTGTTGGAGCATCCCTTAATTGCACACTATGCACGGCAAGCATGGAGGTTCAAGTTAGTAGGTAATAAAAACTCCCAGGCTGGATATTTTGGTAAGTAACAGAGATATTTTAATTCTGCGAAAGCTAGTTCACAGAGCACTAAGAGAGCTTTAATTTTAGATATGAATTAATTTTAAATAGGTCAATATGTAGATGGCGCTGCGCTCAATAATTTTTTTTCGATGGGAGGATATTTCTTATATAACGCATCTTATAAAAAATACATTTATAAGCAGATTTCGTTTTATGAACTAATTCGATAAATCTAGCCATTTCTGATATACAGAGTGGGTCACTCAAAACAGTTTCATCCTGTTTTTTAGCATTAATCATTGAATTTTAAGAAAATGCTAAAACAGGTCGATTTTATTCCTAATTAAAAACATTTTTACAATACAGACACCTTAATTTTAAATAGGTAATGTACCATGTGTGGCACATCATTGAAAATGTATATCACTATCTACCCTTGAACTAATTGAATGGGTTCAAAAAAAAATACAATGAAGGTTTCATCGAATTTAATTCATAGATTGGGTTATCTATCTGGTGCTGGTCTATGTTTGAATGAAATGTGAAATGATGGGTGACTTTGACAAAAATTAGAAATATGAAGACTAGAGATAAGGAGGCGAATCGGCATACTCAAAATACGGTCCCGAAAAACGCATGCTAATTGATCTTCTATAATTAACCGCACAAGCGCTGGTACTGCAAACGATGTTCAAAATACATGGCTTCTTATGGGAATTATACATAATTTTATCAAAATATTAAAAATAAACTTGTTTATAGCTAAATAAAGCACAGAACATACTGTTGTATTTATTTCTAAATAAGTCTTGCATGTTTTAATTAATAAATTATTTAATTTTATCTACAGTGTGTCTACTTAAGTTGGAACCATATGGAAAACATTTTTATTATTGATTTTAGGAAAAAAAGTTATTCTTGATAAAAAGTCCTGCATGACCCAAAACCGAAAATACAGTCATAACATATCAAATTTTTCAAGCCGTATACGAGGTTTGTCAAAAAATATGAATTTTGCTCAAGAGTAAAGTACGTTTATTTTTGACAAAATCGAAAATTTTCATAAAGAAAAGTTGATTAGAATTGAATATTACATTCAAATATGCAATTACACCAATATATCTGAAAAAACAGATTTTCTTATTTTTTATAAACTCTACACATTGATTGTAAATATCTGAAAACGTTATAAATTACGTTAGCTACTATAAACATGATACGCTTTCCTTTTGTTGATGTTTGTGAAGAATTTAGCAAATTTCTTAATGAAAATTTTCGATTTTGTAAATAAACAAACGTACTTTACTCTTGAGCAAAATTCATATTTTTTGACAAACCTCGTATACGGCTTGAAAAATTTGATATCTGATGACTGTATTTTAAGTTTTGGGTCATGCAGGACTTTTTATCAAGAATAACTTTTTTCCTTAAATCAATAATAAAAATATTTTCCATATGGTTCCAACTTAAGTAGACACACTGTATATAAAATGTATGACCAAATTAGAAAAGGTTTCTTTAATGCTGACAATTGATAAGTACAATTTTGAGGCAATTTTTTTTATTGAACCAATATATTGTTTTAAGAGTAAAATAAAACACAGTCAACAGATTTTTTATTGTTGTTATACAAGTATAAAGGGAGATTTGGGAATGTACATGGTATTACCTCATCCTTTAATTTCAGCTTTTCCCTTTTCATTTTGCTAACAGTACCATTAGTAAAAATAGTCTCATATTATTTGATAATATCTTCTAAAAAGTATAGAACAGCATCATCTCTACAAAGTGCTTTATCGACACTAGGAACGATATATATGCTGCCACTGTTCTAAACGTTTAGTATCCTATAAAAAAGCATTTACAATGACACAATTGGGGCAATAAAAATAACCCTAGCAACTCTTTCTCTAACATTAAAACTCTATAAAAAATACATTTTCTTTTCTAGTAAGTCAAATTTAATGCATAATTATTGCTATTTGTAAGTCACCATCTATGACTGTAAAATTTTATAATTTAGTAACTTGTAATAAAATAAACTACACTTCGTAAGATATACAGTATGTCCCCTAGGTTGGAATCATATGGAAAACTTTTTATTAATAATTTTA